TGCCAGCGCGGGGAGGTGGCAGCGGTGGGGGCCCTCGCACGGAGTCCTTCCCTGGAGAAGGACTTGGAACGGGAAGATCGCGGCACCCGACGGCGAGTTCGGACCCCGTCCGCATCAGCCCCAGCGGGCTCGGTCCGAGCTGGGACATCGCTGCCTGCCTGGGCAGGGCTGCGGGCAGGGAGCGAGAGCAGAGGGACGCCGGCGGAGAAGGGATGAAGGGAGGTGGGTCACAGCTCAAGGTGAAAACCACGGTGTGGAGAGTAGCTGGACGGCGTTGGCGGGAAGGGGGACAGGTTTGGGACTGTAATGAGGCAGCCGTGTGAGAGTAGAAGTGGGAGGTTGGCAGGGACCCAGGGCTGGAAGCATCCATGGAGGTGGGCGTGTATGGAAATGAGACGGGACAGGACAGTCCCCTGCTTGCAGATACAACAGGAAAGACATGGGGATCCCACACCGTGTAGGGGGTGATGGCTCAGGACTGGGGGACCCAGCAGATCAGTATATGGGATCTGGGGTGGGTCGCTGAGCCCTGGGAGGGAACTACGTCCTTGAAATTGGCTCTACCTCTACATCCCACTCAGCGAGAAGTCCTCTGCTTTCTGGGCTAAAAGCTGCAAAGAGCTGCAGATCAGACCTAGGTCGGGAACCCTTGAAGAAATAAAGAGCTGGAAGCTTTGCCTGGGAATACAGTATTAACACAGCGTCTGCAGTCGATGGGCGCTGCATTATTCATTCCCAGCCTGCCATTGCCTGACCCTCCTGCCTTCCCCGGGCTCCCGCACTCCCCACACCGCCGTGCAAACCGCAGTCTGCTGCAGAGCTCGGCCTTGAAGCGGGAGGAGACAGCCGGAGCGGGGGTCGGCTGCCGAGGGGCCTGGGAGAGATGAAAGGGAGAGGGAGGTGAGGGTGCCTGGCGAGGGGAGGAGGAGGAGAAAAGGGGAGCAAGTGTGTGGATGCAAGAACAAGTGTGTGCAGTGCAGGGTGGGTGTGGGGGGGCGGTCTGCTGCTCCTCTTGGTTGAGGCTGAGCAGCAAAACATCTGTGTGGCTGTTCTCCCACTGAGGGGGACTTGAAAGCTGGAGCAGGGTTAAACTGCTTGGGTTGGCTGCTCTGAGCAAGCAGACACATCAGCAGGGTTGCCTGCAGAAGCCCAGGGCAGAGGTGTGCCAGTAGCGGGGAGCAAGGGGGTGCACACACATCGTGCTCAAAACAGCAGTGATTCAGTTTAGGGACTCAAACCACCTGTACCGGAGCCAATCTGGCTGAAGCTTCATCTCTTCCAAGTTGCAAGAGAGGCTTGAGCACAACCTTCTGCCATTTCCCGATTGCATTCCCCATTTCCAAAATACTGCTGGTTGATAAAGGGGAAGGATTTGCAGCACTGAGGGCCTGCCACCTCCCAGAGGAACTCTGTATCATACTTTATCAGCAGGCTGAGCTCGGGGCCTTGTGGAGATGGAAAATTAAATAAAATCAGCACACAGTTACACTACCAGCTGCTCTAACAAGGGCCGGCAGCAGCCCTATGGAAAACGCATTTCTCCCCTGTCCTCTGCATCCCGTAAAGTCCTGCAACCCTGGATTAACTTCCATGTTCTTCTGCATTTGCTCTGGTTCAGGTTGGATGTGTTATCGCCCTGCAGCTCGCTCTCTGACTGTCTAACAGCAGGTAGCGTTTTCAGAGCAGGTCTTTGTTGACGTGACCCAGTGCTCTGGCACCCAAGCACAGCACACCCTCGTTTTGGAGGGTCATTTGGACTCATTTGGAGTCTGTCCCCGGCTGCAGGCAGCTGGTACTCAGTTCAGCACGTGGGCAGACAGCAGGACACACATGATTTCCCATCTGGAGCAAAACCAATGTAAACAAAGCAATGCTGAGAGATGCTCCGGACCCACTTGTTCCTGCTTGAGTGCTAATCACTACCCCAGCACAGCTGGGAGGAACAAATCCAGAGATCCCAGCCTGCTGTGTGCTCTCCATCATGCGAAAATTGCAGCTGATGGAGGAAAATCACAGGTTTCTGTCACCTGCTCTGCCCCTGGCCTCAGCCCCAGGCAGACACAGACCCTCTTGCCAAGCTGCTGGCCTCTGCTGCCTTGGCTTGCCTGCTGCCCAACAGCCTCCCTGGGGGAAGATGCAGCTCCCAGGGCAGGTTTGGGAGCACTGCAGCAATGGGGAAATCCTTAGAGCTGGTCCTGGAGATGAAGCAAGCCTCACACCAACACCCAAGAGTAGCAAGGGGAGAAAGGAGTACTGGCACTTTGGCCAGCCCATGCCCTCTTTCCCAAAGCAGGTGCCAGTGGCATGGGTTGCCAAGGGCCTGGGAAAGCTGCTTGCCTCAGTGGGGAATTACAGCCTGAAGATCTGCTTAGGTGATGCAGCCAGACCCACAGGAGAGGTGGAAGAAGCAGATGAACTTGGACATACCATCAATGCTACATGTCCATCAGGAGGAGACAGCAAAAGCTGCAGTGCTTCAGTGCCAGGACTAAGGCTTCAGGGAAGACACAGCAGAGTGTCTGGTCACAGTGAAATCGGATGGGGAATGGGTTTGCAGCTTCCCGATGAGAAAACAAGAGCTGGACAAATATCCGCTGCACTGCAGGACACCTTTAATGATACAAGAGCTGGTTACCAGTGCTGCTGCCAGCACGCTGCAACAGCCACAGCCTCCCGCAGCCTGCAACACCTTGAGGACTCATCCTGCTTTCGGCAGCGTGTGGCTCAAGCCTGTTCCCCTGGCACAGGCACTTGGTCATGGGCAGGGAGTGTGCCAGTGGAGGTCTTCGCTGGCCCCTTAAGGCAGCGCTCCATGTTTCCGTCCAACCTCGGTGAAGGCTTCCACACAGCGGTCAATGTCCTCGTCACTGTGCACAGCTGAGATCTGGACCCGGATACGAGCCTTTCCCTTGGGGACCACGGGGTAACTGAAGCCAATGACATAAATGCCTGGGGAGGAAATGTATGGAGAGTCAGAGCAGGCTGGGAGGGAGGGTGGCTGAGATGGTAGTGGGTGACAGAAAGGCTTTTGGATCCTCTCTCCCTTCTCAATAACCTTTTCCAAGCTTCAGGGTTTTCAAGTGGCATGGAAATGAGGGTCAGGGCCAGTGATGGGGATGGAACCCAGCATGGCAGGACAAGAGGGCCAATATAGAATGGAGCCAGGCTCTTCTCAGTGATGCCCAATGCTAGGACAAGGGGCAATGGGTATAAGCTGGAACACAGAAGGTTCCGCTTAAACTTCAGAAGGAACTTCTTTACAGTGAGGGTGACAGAGCCCTGGGACAGGCTGCCCAGGGAGGTTGTGGAGTCTCCTTCTCTGGAGACATTCAAAACCCGCCTGGATGCCTTTCTATGTGATCTCATTTAGGTTCCTGCTCCGGCAGGGGGATTGGACTAGATGAACTTTCGAGGTCCCTTCCAATCCCCAACATTCTGTGATTCTGTAAACCCCTCAAAAGAAAAAGAAGGTGAAGCCAGCAATGGCTAGGGGAGACCAGGACGACATTTGCAGCTGGAGGGTACAGAAATAACAGATTTCATGCAGGAACATCCTCTGGAGGAGGTAGGGTGGTGGCACCACCACCAGCTGTCCCTTTTCTCAAGGCATGTGTCTGCATCCAGAGCTCCTCCCCCCGATTCACCTCTGTTTAGCATGTCCTCAGCCATCACTGCGGCCAGCCGAGCATCCCCAAGCATGACAGGACAGATGGGGTGGTCTTTCCCCGAGATGGTGAAGCCAGCTGCTGTCATCTTGCTTCTGAACCTGGTGAAGAGAACGAGAGGATGAGTAAAACCTTGTCACCCCTGTCCTTGGGGACAGCTGCCTTGCTTTCCCCCATGCGCCTTGACCAGTGAGGGCTGGGTGTGGTTCTGCTCCACCAGGCATCTTCTCTGCAGGGAAGGGACCTCTCTTTTTGGAGTGACCTCCTGACACTTCCTGCTCAACTCCAGGTGACTGCAGCTGCTTGAGGGGCAGATGAGTCCCAGCTCGCAGAACATCCAGATGTGACACATCTGCCCACACATCTGTCTAACACACAGAGGCACACCCTGCAGTTTCCCCTGAGCACCCCCTGGCTGTGACTTGTAAATTGCCTTCCTGGCTATCGCTGGGGGCTGGGTGTGTGTGGGGGGGGTGTGTGTGTGAATAAATACACACAGACAACTCATTCCTAACAGACCCCTCCCGCTGCTCCCACCCCAGCATGGCCCTCACCGTTGGGTCTTGGCAGCCATGGACTGTGCAATGGCATTGCTGTCCATGAGCAGGTCCAGGGCCTTGGAAGCACAGCCCACCACGGCAGGGGGAAGGCTGTTGGAGAAGAGGTACGGGCGGGAACGCTGGCGGAGCAAATCGATGAGGGGTTTGGGGCCAGTTGTGTACCCGCCTGCAGATGGAGGAAAGAGAAATGGACAAGGTGCCCCAGGGTGACCTGTTCAGAGGGGGGCCCCTCGATAAAGCCAGCCTGTCACCTGAGTACAAGCCAGACCAAAAAAAACCCACAGCCGACATCTTTTACCAAGAGTTTCTACCCTGACAAATGGCAAATGCATGGAGAAGATGAGAGTGGAAGGAGCAGATGGCAGGACCTCCCTTGACCCTGCAGCAGGGTCCCAACCTGAGCCTCATGCCACCAGTAGGAGAGGACAACAAACATTTGTTGCTCTAATGTTACACAGAGGAAGGAAACATCAAAGCAATGCTGTGGATCTCTTTGGGGCATGGAGTGCATTGGACAGGAAAATGCCTTCACCTGCGGCTCCTCCAAGAGCTTTTCCAAGTGTGGAGTTGATGATGGTGACTTTGTCCATTACTCCCAGCAGCTCATCAGTACCCCTGTAGAAAAAGGAACATCACATTATCAGCTGTGCCAGCATGAACTAGGGAAGCTGCTCTACACCTGATGTCTCAGGGGAAACAAATTGCCACCAGCCAGGTCTCTGGTGTGTCCCCTTCTGGTGAAGGAAGAACACTCCCCTGTGGTAGTTCAACCCGAGTGTTGACCTTTCCTTGTCTGGGATCTGCCAAGGTAAGAGCATGGGTTCTTCATCCCTTACAGATGGGATACCACTCAAACTACCTACACAGAAGTTTAATAGTCCAAACAGAGCACGAGCCATCGATGTAGGTCTTGCACACGCCTCTGACGTGCCACACTATTAGCATACACCAGGGAAAAACAGTTGCCTGTCGCCGATGTCCTCTGAGGTGGGCTGTGCATATCACTGATGTGCTGCCCTAAATGCACACAGGCCTAAAGCACCCGTGCCAAGGTCTATGCCAGTGGAACCAACTGGACATGACAAACATGCTCTGCAGCTTCACATCCTCCAGCCCAAAAAGGCAGGACAGGGCACGGCCACCCAGCTCTTGGCTCTCTTGAAACACAGTGCTGTAGACTACAGCATCAGGTTCACACTGAAACTAGCACAACTCATTAAGTGCTTGGTAACCGTTCCCTCTTCCTCAAGCTGTTGTGCACTTACACACCTCAGTGCAGTCAAGCAGTTGTTTTTGCAGCTGGTGGGACCAGAGAGCCCACTGGGACAGAGACAAGGTCTACCTCAACTCAGAGGGTGGTTACCATGCCCCAAGGAGGGAGATTACAAGACAGACAGACCATCCTGTTTTCTTCCTTATGAAGACTCAAATTTGAGAAAGCTCAGCACAGTTACAAGGTGTGGAATACATTAAAGCTCAGCACAACCACCTCCCTTGTTAGTGATGAAGTGCCACCAGGATTAGCATCCTTTCTCTTAAAAGGTGCCTCCTGCACCACCACTTTGACCCACAATGAAAGATTTGCCATGGCCTTGGTGAGAAAAAGAGGCAAGTTCTCTCACTCAGTTCCCACTTCTCACCCATTTCCTAGCTTTATGTGGACTTGCCAGCTTCTCACATGAGATCTGCCCAGAGAAGAGAGAGCTGGGAGGGAGCTCTTCATAGAGTGACTTTTGTCTTTTTCAGAGATGGCTTTCTCCTCTTGTCAGCTCCTGCACTATCATTCCATCTGAGGAGAGCCCCATTGTTTGTTCCTACAGATGTTGTTTCACATGGGTGTCTACCAGAGCCAAAGGACTATGCACTGGAGCACTTGGTGCTCATGTGCTTGAACAAAACAAGCATATTTAGCACCTGTTCTCAGCAAACACCTGCAGCAAGTGCACTGCTTGGCACCTGGATGATCTCCAGGGATGGAGGAAAAAGCTGCCCTGAGGGAGCTCATCAAAGCTAACTTCACAAAACCCCCAAGACCCAAGCATTTGAAAGAGACAGCTGAGAGGAGAAGGATTCAGAAATCAGGAAGTCCAACTGCTTGCCAGGAGAGGCAGATGAGATGGTCACACCAACCCTTACACACAGAGAAGTGCCTGTGGCACTGGGATGGGTCAGTGCTAAAGTATCTCCTTTCAATCCCCTCAAGTGCACCAAAAGGGATATATCATCAGGAGGGGAGGTCTGAGGCAGAGGTGGGGTGTAAAGCCTTCAAGGGTGGTTCCAGGAGTCCTCACACAAAAATACATTGGCCATCGCCACCATTGGCCCTGCCTCAGAGGTAACTGGGGTCAGGAGGGAGAAACGGGTAAAACAGCCCCTTACCGGCCATTGGGTCCCAGGAAGCCTGTGGCATGGCATTCATCGATGAAGACCAGAGCATCATACTTCTGGGCCAGCTGGCAGATCTCCCTCAGGGGTGCGATGTCACCGTCCATGGAGAAGGCACCATCGGTGGCCACCAGCCGCAGACGATGTTTCTGTGGGAGGGAGACCGGCACCCCCAGGGGTGAAGATGTCACCCTGAGGAGAGGGGCTGGTGAAGGAGACTGGGACATAGTCCAGCTCCTGTAGGGAGTGGATATATCTAGCCAAGATGGGGGGTTTGCATTGCAACCAGCTGCTTCTTCACCTTGCCTATCCATCCCTGCCGGTGTCTATCAGCAAAATCGATGGTTATTGCAGGGGAAAAGGCAGAGCTCACCCATCAGGGCTGGTTACTGCGAAGGTAGCCCAGCTAAATGACAACCCTTGTGCTGGGGTGGGAGCAGACCTCTGTACCTGCGCATCCTGCAGCTTGGCCTCCAGGTCCTGCATGTCCATGTGCTTGTAGCGGTATTTGTTAGCCTTGCACAGGCGGATCCCGTCGATGATGGAGGCATGGTTCAGCTCATCTGACAGCACCGCATCCTCTGGGGTCAGCAGGGCCTGGCCGTGCCAAACAGAAAGAATCTTCCTTTGATCTGGGGTGCCAGCTCACTGAGATCTTCCAGCATCTCTCAGTGCAGAGGACAAGGATGTGTCTGACTGCAGCTGCCATGTCTCTCCTGGCACTGCTAGACTTTCCACTTTCCTCCCCAGCCACCCTGTCCTCCATTTTCCTTAGGCCAGGCTCTTGCCTGTGGCTTCTGAGCTCCAAACCTCCCTCCCCTTCCCTAGCAAGCCTGGGGGATCACCCCTTCCCCTTGCCCATGCTTCAAGGTTCGGACCCTCCAGGAAATGGGAGCCCTCCCCAAAAGCTGGAGCTGGCTGGGGAACGGGGAGGTGAGGGCTGATTAAACAGCTCCACCTGGCTCCCCCAGTCCAAGGGCACCAAGTCAGGGTTCTCTACCACCAGTCACTGCCATCTTCTCTGCAGCACAGGGCTCACATCAGTGCCTCTGGAAGGCACAGCAGGCAGTCCACCCTCACCTCCCTCCTCCACACACAACACAAGAAAAGCCCTACGAACCTCAAAGATACCGGCGTTGGCATCAAAGCAGCTGGCATAGAGAATGGCGTCTTCCCGCTGGTGGAAACGCGCAATCTTCTCCTCCAGGTCCTTGTGTATGCTCTAAAGAGAAGAGAGGAGCGAGTCCCACTGGTCAGGCAGCACAAGTTCTCGCTTGCCCGCTGCTGTTAGATGCTGACTGCAAGAGGAGAAAACAGCCAGGTTTTATCCAGAAAAGGTGTGCGTGTGTGGGAGAAGTTAGTTGTGTTCAGAAAGCGTTTGCCAACGTGGCCCTAAAATGTGGTTATGGGTTTGGATGCCAGAAGCGCAGCAGGGAGACTCCAAGCTCCCCACCCACGGGGGAGCAGCTCTGAGTTTTCTTTGCACTGGCTGCACTTTGCAACCAGCTGGGGCTCTGAAAGGGCTCCAGCAGGGATAAACTGGGGTGGGCTTGACAGAGCTGTTTCAAGTCAGGCTTGCTGTAATTTTGACCCTTAAAGGAGGGAAAAAGCCATTCATTTTCTGAATTCACAGGGCTATTTTGTTTCTTTGCTCTCTGAGGGGTTGTAACCGTTTCAGTTGGCGTATGTCCAGATCTTTGGCTAGCAGGGAATCAGCAGGACTTCTGTCTGTTCAGGCACGTGTACCTTAGCATTGTGCATGCATACGAGTGCCGAGGTGGGAGTCTGAGCTGAGCCCCTGAGAAAGGTGGCCCTGGAGCAGGGGGGATGCTGCCCCAGTACCTGAGTACCACAGATGAAGCGGACAGAGCTGAGCCCAGCACCGAACTTCTCGAGGGTCTCCACAGCAGCACGGATCACCTCAGGGTGGCTAGAGAGCCCCAGGTAGTTATTGGCGCAGAAGTTGAGGATCCCTGCGGGAAAAGAGAGAGAGAAGCGTGAGCGTTACACCGGGGGAAGAGGCCGAGAGCCCTCCCCGCCACCCCC